AAAAAAAAAACTCTTGGTCCCAAAAATCTCAACTCAGTAGTAAACCCCTTTCTCCAAAATGTCATCAGCAAAATGGATATCTTTGCTGATATCAATCTTTATCTTCCCTTCTGCGGGAAACTTGAGCATAGGGTGTTTTATGTGTTCAAAATTAATTTTGATACAGATTATTTACTTGATTCAAGGACAAATAACTCTCCTTCAAAGTTCTACATGAAGAACAGTTAAAAAAGTAGTGCCAGCGCTAAAAAAAACTAAATACTGCCATTTTCGCGAAACGCTGTAAATGTATAAGTACTACTCATATTGGAAGATTCACTGCAGAAAATTGAAATATGAGACGATAGACTACAGATTTCCGTCAAGATAACTTCCATAAACTTCTTAGTAAACTTCAAAAAAATCCCATATTTATTCTCCAACATAGTTATTGTGCCAAGCTCAGAAAATTTCCATAAATGTAGATAAACAGATGCATATCTGGAAACTCTATTAGCCAACTCACGGGAATACTTTTCCTTGGCGTCATGCGAGAATGGAGCAGAAGAATCTGCTTCCGACTTCGAAGGTGAGTGTACGGATTTAGGCGGGCGTGAGTTAGAAGATGGATGTCCGACAGCAGTAGGTGCGGAATGCCACGAAGACGTTGATGACGACGGGTCTAGAGACGACGCGCCCAGCATCAACGCACATCAAGCGCCCTTGGATATCTAGAAGATTCATTTAAACAATCTTTTGCAGAATTTTACAGGGAAAAAGCTACGAAAACAAGCTGCAACAATGGCCAAAAATACTGTAGAATGAAACTGAAGCAAATAACCAAGACCACCTAAAATGCATAAAATGAGGAATAGCAAGTAACCAAGTCTCAGTCTTAGGCCATGAAAAAGAAAATGAACTTCTGAAGTAATGGACGACAATTCATGGCAATAGCACTTATATAATTACTACGCCTTAGGATGTTGTGAATGCTTTTTTATGCGTTTTATAACAGAAGATCATGCAAATAATTCATGCAACTTTGTCTTTACATTGAAAAAGGAGCCCCTCTCAATCTGAAGTCGATGTGCATGAATTACTTATAAATAAGTCTACATGCCCTTCATGATAGTAGCTTTTAACATCATATATAATTGAAGAAATATATTTAATAGGATAACTTTTAGGCAGCCAATAAAAGCCAATAAAACTTTAAAATTATAAAGTTTTTGTCATGAAACAAAGAAAGTTTCTTTTTGAATTGGAACGAATGTCAAGATGATATACGGCATAATCATGACCAACGCCTAGCCGAAAAAAAATGATAGTATAGAAGAATTGAAGCAGGAACCAAAGAAATGATAAGAATCAGAATGTGTGACGACTGCATAGGAGGAATAGGGAGATCGCAACAGCTATGAAATATTAAACAGGAACTAGAAACGAGAGGGTGAAAGTATAAAGATGAGATAAGCATTACACTTTAAATTACTGAATATAAACAGAGTCAACGTCGAAAATTCGCATAAAGTGCCGTAAAACCAAGAACCTCTTATAAAACCGAAAAATCACTGAAAAAGGGTTTTCCTCCAGAAAAGATAATGAAAAGTACAGAAATTGACTTGTAAACACTATGTAACTGAATATAAGTACTAGTTACAGCGATCCTCGAGAAACATCCGAGGCGATGAGGAGTCAAAACGCGCATATAGAAAAACGACGGAAGCCTAAGAAATGAGATAAAAGATGCAAATTTTTTCTAAAGAAAAGAAATAAGTTCTAACAGCTAGGTCCAGATTTCAAATACAGAAGGATGCAATCCAGAAGCCGATAACCTCAACCTGAAATCAAAGGAGACGCCGATGAACGCTGGGAAAATACGGGTCGCTCGCGCCGCGGCGCCTGTCGCAGCCGCGTTGCGGTTGCGTTGCAACCCAATTGATCCCTGAACTCGTGACGGGGTTACCTACCGTCGCCATCGTCGTCTGCAGCCAACATAGGCGAGTCTCGAGCTGGGTTAGAAATTGTGATTAAGAGAGGTATGCATGTATTTGTGTGATTACATGCAGTGGGGATTGGAGATGGAGAAGGAACTTTTGGAAGATGCCACTGAGGGCTTGTATGATCATAAGCAGAATGGCCGTCTATTTGCAGATTCAAAGTCTTTGATTGATTGTTCAGTCTTTCCTTACTTCGATTTAAAACTAACAAGGACAACTCAGTTCCAAAGCCTTTACTTGTGCGCGAATCTCTCGACAACATTTTCATAAAGGACGTCAAACGATGTGTAGAAGCAGGTCCCAGAACGGCTCTCTCCTTTAATTGGCTGGCGAATGCCTGCAGTTGCGGTCCTAAACTTCAACATTTTCTAGTTTAAATCCCAAGTTTGAAAGTATCTAAGGCTTCAGTTTAGTAGGAGAAGCGCAGGCAACTATGTTCATTAACTTTAGCTATCGTGAATCGTCTCCCGATCATTTCCGGGATTACGAAAATTTTGCTATGACATGCCAGCTACGTAAATCGCATTTTTATCGTGATATTGGAATTATCATTTACCTTCTTATTCAATCACTTACAGCATGAAATACTTGGGAGCATATCTCCTTGCCACTTTGGGAGGAAATGACTCGCCCTCAGCCAAGGATATCCTGAACATTCTTGGTAAGTTTTTTTGTGACTTGAGCGAAATGTACAAGAAGGTTGTTGACTTGGATTTGACTTTTATCAGCTATTGCCCAAACGTCATGAGATGGTATTAAAAGCCAGTATTTTCATTTTTGATATTTTCACTTTTGTTCTATTCGTCGTATGTTTAGTCTGGTTTTGCTGGCACTTCTACTTCCCCGTTTCGAATCCTTGGACAATTTCATATTTTTTCGCAATTTACATTTGGTCCATCAATTTATTCCCTTCCGTAAAACGATTATTCTTACAGTTATTGTTTTTATTTATAAAGCCGTAGTCAGAATCTATAGGAGTTGCAATGACTCTAAATTATGTTCTGAACTACAGATACGTACTGCATTTTTTTTAACTACAGATACGTACTGCATTTTTTTTCAAGTGCTTTATAAATTATTAGGAACCTGAGTCTCTCCATGTCTGATGCGTTTGATGTTTCCAATGAAAGTTCATTGGAAACATCTGACATTATGACTGTATGATGAAGAGCGAACAGAAGAGCGAACTTGCGAAAGTTATCTGTCTTATCTGGATCTCTGTGACCAATAAACTTTCTTTCGGACGTCAGCTATCCATTTTCTTCTATGCTTACTTACCCAACTTACCCATACTAAAATCAACAACTCTCTTGTGTTATTGATGTCTACTCAAATCTGCATATTACTGTAATAAGGTTAACAGTCATGCTCTCAAGACCATTTTTTTCAATTAGTTAGGGGAGGGGTACATCTAGCTGTAAAAATATGCAATTTTATTCGATCATGAACTCTATAGATAGATTAGCGCCTACGCCAGTGCTTTGAAAGTCTGATTGATGAGGGGATAAATAGAAGGAGAATAAATGCGATATTTTCATTTATGAATTGTATGGCATTGTCAGAGGGCATCGGTGTTTATGAATATTAATCGATCTCTGTAGGTCAAAAATGAAATTACCAAGCACTTACTGCTGGAAACTCCATTTTTGGCTTTATTTAAATTCGATGTCTAGATGCTGGAGGGCTCGACTGCGATATGGAAGATGCGAATAAAGTCGTAGATGCTTTGTCAGGCAAATCAATTGCTGAGGTTATCGAAGAAGGAAAGAAGAAGCTGTCTTCAGTTCCAAGCGGAGGTTCAGCTGCGCCAGCCGCTGCTCCTGCTGGTGCTGTCAGTGGAGACGCGCCCAAGGGTATTTAAGTTTTTTTTT